AGCAGGCGGCTCAGACGCGAGAGGGGGACTCAAAGGAGCATCCAGCTAGTGCAGTTCTGGTGGGGCTGCAGGACACCAGCATTAGTCAGCATGTGAGAACACTTACCAAGCCTCCCCGAGTCCTCAGCCCCAGTCAGGCCAGTAACTGACCTCAAACCCCACTGAATCCTACAGTCAGTGCCTTTGCTACAGAGCTACTACATGGCAACACAAACCTCCTTCTATCAAACAGGCAATATTCAGCAAGTGCTTTGCACCACTCTACACAAGACGGTGCTCCAAGGCAAGATACAGTTAGAGATCTGGAGAGGCAAGGTTCATTCCTTACAGGAACGAGATGAGCCATCAGAAATAAACCACCAAAACATTCCCTCCCTGTAATGCCATTTCAATCTAGTATTCACAAGGCGGCACCCCCAGAGAGAAGATACATTCTCCACATCCTCACTGGGGAAGCAGCAGCAATTACCAAGAGCATCCCTACGTGGAGCGCAGGAACGTCCTTATCCGGTTGGAGGAACCTGGATGTGCAAGGGCGTCAAGGCCTCACTCCCCCAGCAGCAGCCCCACAGCTGCCAGGTTGGCTCCTTACCCAGCGCTCGGTGGCTCTGGCAAACTCCCTGGATCAAACCTCGCTCGCCTCAGTTCTCAGCAGGCTGCTAGTCCCAGGAGGCAGCCTGCCCTTTTTCTTATTTTAATTAGATTTCTGTTTCTTCCAATGGCTTCTCACCAAAATGCCTGTGCTGAGATCAAAGGCTATGGCTGGACTCACCTTGTCTCCTGCAACAGCCATCTGCCAACACCAAGAGGAGTTCACCCGGCAGACAGATTTCTCAAGCCGAGTTAACAGCCTTGAACACGCACAGTCCTTGGCTCACGGATCATTTGCACTACAAGTCACACGCCACCTTGAAAAAATATACCACGTGTTAGCTAGAAAACACACCAAGAGCCACTTCCCAGAACACTGCAGCAAGACCCGCACCAACACCTGACCACCGTCATTCGTGTCCCGTGCCGTTTAACCCCGGCGTGGGTACCAGGTGGCTTTCGAGGGGATGCATTTCAGAGCCGGCACCGCGGCACTTTGGGACCAAACTGCACAAGACTGGCAGATTTGCACCTGGCCCTAAGCGTGCAGGTTTACTTGCAAAGAACATACTTACGCAGTATGCGGTTGGCACACTCATACCAGAGGGCTTTTTTTTTTTCCCCCCTCTTTTTTAATCCTTCTTTTCTTCAGAATGATTCACATCCATCAGCTACCACAAAATTGCTCAAAACTCAATGCCCTCACACAGATTTCACAGTCTCGGCAGTATTTCCACTTTCTTCTGAAAAGCACCAGCTGACTCAAGCCCTTCCCGTGCACACAGTTTAGGGCAGAGCGCACACGTGTCCTTCCAGAGCAAATAGTTGAAAACCTTCTTGCAAATCCTAGCACAAAGGCTGTCAAGACAAACACTGTGGGGTGGGGTGACCATTCTTGGTGCCAAACGCAAGCAAAAAAGTTAAATGAACTTCAATAAAACAAGGTCACTCCTAGTAGAAACAAAGGGCCCCAAATTCACGTGCCACTGCTCCTGCCATGCCAGCCTCACCCTTTGCTGAAAACCTGGAGACAGCGACAGTGGGGAACGAAGACGACCTGAACGTGAGGGCTGGCCAAGACGCATGCTTTGATCCTCCCAGGAGTCTCTTGAGTTACATGGAAAAGCTGCCCATGGAGCAGCCATTCTCTCAGATGCTTTCCAGGTGCCCTTCGTATTTAGCACCTCCACAGCTCTCAACCCACCGCCGCTGATGAACTGTCTGCTCTCAGCCTTCTCCGCTTACATATTTCCGCCCCAAGGTTTGATCCCCTCCCTCACTGCAGCCCTAACTCCCACCAGAATTCCTCCCAGCCAGCCCTGACCTCTGCCTTCACAGGGAGCCCCATGACAGCCTGTGCTTCGGCCACCTTCTCAGCTACGCCACCCAACGCAATGCTCAACACCTCCTGCCTTTTACCTCTCCTTGCCAACTTTTTTAATTCCAGCATCATCCTCCCAAGAAAAAAAAAAAAAAAAAAAAAAACAACAACCAAACTGGAAGACAGTGTCTTCCCCATTTCTTCCCTTTCCTGTAACCACAGCTTTCTCTTCTGTTATCTCCTGGTCTTACCTACCAGTCATGCTCCATCTAGACCTCCCAAGGGTCACTCTCATGCTGTTTCCATAACTGGTTTCCTCTGGCTTTTCCCTAATACAGGAGCACTGAAATTTCCAAACCTCACCCTCACCCCACGTGGTTTGCTCACTTTTGTCTCTAAGCCCACCAAGAGAGCTGCTGACAGCTGCCTCCCCAGCCATCTCCACAATACCTCCCACCCAGTTCCCACGTCAGCATTCCAACTGAGATGGCTCTTGAAGAGGTCTGCAGTGACATTGTTTTACACAGACTCCACAGCAAGGAGCTATCGTGCTCCAGAGGGTCGGAACAGAGAGGACCGGACTGCCCTCCCACCCTGCTATTTTCCCCAGAAGTTTGGTTAGGGCTTTCTCAACAATTTCTTTCTCCTTCAGCTCCTATCTCCTGGCTCTCCCACACACACAAACATCTGCACATGAAGCCCACAGGTTGTGCCTCTCTGCCAGACCCTGTTGCCCCCCATTCAGAGTCAGACACGTGGAAAAAAAAAAGAGGCCAAACCAGCCACCCTTTTTTTCACCCTCTTTCTTGTCAACACCAAGTACGCCTCCATCCTAGTCTGCCGCCGGAGCTTGTAAGCCTGAGGACTGTCAACACGCTCTCGATGCCTCTCCAGCATCAAACATGGGGCCACACAGGATCTTGGTAAGAGGGTGTGTGTTTGCATTAAGGTAACAGGTACCGATCAAACTTCAACATGAGACTTTTTCGTGTACTTTAAGAGTAGAAGCTACCAATAACATTCTCTTTCCAGAACATCTGTATTTTTAATCTTCTACCCAAGCGACCTGCTCCTCAAGAGCCTTCCTGAAAGGCCATGGAGCCAAGATGCATCGTGTGCAGCAGTAAAGAAAAATGCCAGCATGAAAGCCATCTGCAAGCTCCGGTACAATAAACTCCTGCAAGGCATCAACTCAAGGCAGCTCTGCTATCAGCAAAATGCCTATCTTGGCTTTAACCCCTGTAGGTGAAGCGTGTTTAAATGGAAGTAGAATTTGAAAAATGGATAGCTGTATCTCTGCCTTAACACCACACCAAACCACGCTGCAGTCTCTATGGATGTGCACGCCCGTCGGGGCGCAGAGGAGAAAGCTTACTGTAGCTTCCCATTCCCACAGCTAGCGCTGACTGAGCGGAGCAGCCTGACTGCGGCACATCCCTAACCCACCTTAAGGCCACAGCAGTTCGATGTCCCCTCAGATACGAGCCTATCTTGCAAGATAACATCTCGTGTGCGTGTGACTACTCCAGTGCACCCAGTAAAGCCGTGCTACTCTGTGAAGGGCATACAGCGCGTACCATTTTAACCCTGGGCTGTTTCTCAGTCTCAAGTAAATCTTACGGCTCTGACCTCTGCGGACCTCATCATGACACAGATCTGGACAGGAGTAACACTGCCACTGAGAGCTCTAAGCACCAAGTCATCGTACACAAGTGGTGAAATTGGGTAGTTTCCTTGGGCCAGAAAGCAAAGTGACCACAGAAGTCCAGGCAACCAAAGCCTTACCACTATCCCCAAACTCAGCGACTCCAAAGCCAACCAAATGAAACCAGTTTCAGTTCACTGAAGCAAACATAGCCCATCATAACATGCCCAAACTTGAGCCAGCAGGAAAGTTTCCTTCTAGCAAGACTCTGTTCACTAGCCACCAGTAACTTAACACCAACGTACAGACCAGAAAGCTCCTGTGTTTTGAGGGACGCTCTGTTTCAGCTCAGCAATGTGAACGGGCAGCCTGTGAGGCTGAAGAGACCACACCGAGTTCTGCCTCATGTGATACTCATTAGAAAGGATTAATTTCTTTCACCCAGGTTCAGAACTCTGGCCAGAACAAAAGCTGCACTTTTGCATGACACAGCCAAATCCAGCTGCTCATACTTGCAGACCTGCGTCTCCCAAGATGCTCGATCGCTACGGAGCCTGTCAGGGCAACGCTCCCAACCATGCAGTTGCACAAACACTCCAGGCCACGGGTGCTTTACTCTGAAGACAAGAAGCAATTGTTCACGTTTCCCACTGTGCTAAAGTGCAACCTGCCTCATGGTGCCACCTTGCAGAGGATGCAGTCTACAGTTCGCTTGGAGAACTGGAAGTTATTCTACAAATACCTCTGTTAGATGTAGAATATGAGAGTTACGGAGGCTTGATCAATGGATCACCACAGATTTTCCTGACATAGCTTGTTCAGTCCTCTTAAGTAATGTTCAACTCAAATAACCTAGGGTGGGATGGATATTTGGGTACTCCAGCCCACCAACCTGCTTGTTCAATACACAGGGCAATATGAGGGACAAAGCTTTCACATTAGATGTAATAGAAAAACATTCTTTACTCTGCAAGTGTCTTTACAAATATATATTTATATATTTAAGCCCATTTCAGGCCATAAAAGCCCATAAAAAAAAAACCAACCAGTACCTTTTTGAACAAGAGAAACTGCAATCCAGAAGTCTGAGGTGAAAGACTCCCATACAAGGGCTGCTTTGGCGCTTCTCTGAAGGCCTCTATTTAGCACATAAAACCATCTTAAAAATCACATCAGCCTTTTCTCTGCAAGGAGGGACATCATTTTTACCCCACCTTTACTACTCTGTATGAGGTAAACTGGAATCACTTTTACATAATCACTTACTGCTTTAAAAAGGGGATATTGTATCCTGAAGACCAGCTTTTCCAAAAAAACATTTGTGAATGGGTTAAAACAAGTAAGATGCCGCTTGTGGATCCAACCACAATGTGCTGTTGTCTCAAAATAGAAGTTGATACTAAAAAGCTATTCCTGATACATACAAGTACAAACACTAGAGCTGGTCAGAAAGATTCAGTTTCAACATTTTCAAAAAGCAGGGAAAATGTTCTGCAGTGTGGCTTTTGCATTAATTTCCCCTATCCTCACTTTTCTACACCAGTTCTATATACCCTTCCAAAAAAATCACGTCTGTTGTCAGAGTGCAAAGTCCATCCAAATCTCGTGTTTTAAGTTCACTAGCACTACACTTTAAAAATCCTGATGGCACATAAAAAGGTCTTGATTTAACTTAGCAAAAGTGATATCTAGAAAATATTCAACATCAAGAGGTCTTACAAAAACTTCAGACTACTAAAGCATTCTAAGGCACAGTGTTTTGGAAGAAGTGCTTTCTCCCTTTAGTGTCGCTTTATACACATCACGTGTGTGAGTCCGCGTGAGGCACGGAGCTGCAGACGTATGCCATGCCCTCTCCCGATCAGCGAACTGAATCTTCCTCTGCAGTTTCAGACGTAGGCTCCCAATGCTGCATGAAATTCAGTTAGACATTGCACCAGCTGCTGAAACTTGGGTCTTTCTTCAGGATCTAGGGCCCAACAGCAGGCCATCACAGCAAACCTGCGAGACAAGGACAAATGGAAGACACGAGAACGTCAGCCAGGTGTCCACAGTCCCCAGCTCAACGCAAAAAACAGCCATTTGCCGCTAGAAAACCTGCTGACCAGAGAAAAGGAACCCAGGATCTTCTGATGCACGATGCTGAGCGACTCCTTCACAAGACAGGCACCCGAAATGGTCAGTAAATGTGCTGCGACTGAAAGCCCTGGTTTGATCTAGGATACAAGTCAGGCGAGCCAGGAGAAAGAAATGCCTAACTTTTATCAGAAATTGCTCAACTACTGTAAAAGCATAAAGTGTCTCTGGGGAAGGTTTACAGGAAGGGGATTTGGAAGGACAAATGAGGCAGAAGTTAGGGCCTGTACTCTTATATTCTCCTATACCATTAGGATTATGAATAAACACCCCAAGCACTGCCGTTTAACACTACGACACACAGTACTTCCCTGTAGTCTTGCTGAGAGAACAGAGATTCCCTCTCCCTACAAACCTAGAGGCTTCCTACACTGCAGCTCCACAAACATAGCCCCTTTGACTCTCTTCTCCCCATACTGCTGATCAACCTCATTTCTCCAAGGTGTAGGAAGAGACTTGGGTCAGGATTAAGTGAAACTCAACAACAACAAAAATACATTTAATTTTAGCCCGAGTTCTTTGACGTAGGTCACTGAAGCCAAGCAAATACTTACACGAGGGTCAGCCTAAAAGGCAGACTAAACAGGCACGGGAGGGCAAATCTGGCTTTCATCGATAACATCCTGGTTACAGAATAGACATTTCATCCTCTCTCCAAAAACATGCACTTACAGTTCATCAGGGCAGTTGATTGGCTGAGCTATCCGATAGCCATCCTTTAAATAAGCAGCCATCTCAAAGGGGTCGATATCCACATACGGAGTCTGTCCTAATGTCATCAGCTCCCACAGCGTTACTCCAAAGGCCCACTAAAAAGAAACAGGATACAGCATTAACAGAGCACGCCGAATTGTGAGAGCTCCTTCAGATGTCCCACAAAATCAGTCTGAGTAAGACTACACAGAGTAAGAAAGCTTTACATAAATGCTATATATACACACATCTATCACAAGTTCAACATGACAATACTGTGTCTTGAATAGGGGCAGTTAAGAATCACAGAACAGGTGTTAATTTGACCTAAAACTAAAATCTCAGTGCAGTAAGATTTAAGTGCTAAAAAACATGTGTTTACTGCATTTTTCCAGTATGACAGTTTAAAACACTTAAATTTAAGGAATGTCAAACACTAAATTCAGTTTTGAAAAAATTAACGCTTTTATTTCTATTAACACTCTTGAAAACACTACATGAAATTCCTCAAAAAAAAAAAAAACCTGTGAAATTCAAAGGTTAAGAGCAGACTGAATGAAACCATCGTTTTTTAAAAATCAAAGCCATCTGTGTATTTTGAGTATATACTCAGAAGGAGGACTCATAAGAAAAATAAAGATTCCATCTAAGTAAACCTGACAGCTGCATCAGCATTCAGCACACCACTCAGCTGACGAGTCTTGCCAACAGGAGCTTAAGGCGATGAAAAATGTATCAAACAATTCATGTGCAAGCACAGTACCAGTAAAATTATTTACTAGCTGTTATCAAGAGACCCAAGAAACAAAACATAGATGGTGCTGATACCGCACACTGATGATTCACCGCTGGAGTTACACGTGCTGCAAGCATCATGATTTATTAAAAAAGGGGACAGAACTCTGCAAGCCAAGAAAGATCTTTGGTTTTAATCAAGGGAAACCCCCAACCCCTGACTGAAGCCGTAACTGAGGGATGCTGTCCATGGGCACTGATGGGAAGCTGGAAGATGGCAGGAGCGGAGGCACGGCCGCGCTCTGAACAGCTATCTGTGAGCAGAGTGGGAAGGCAGGGGAAGAAAAATGCCGAGGGACAAGCGGTGGTGCACGCAGAACAGGAGAATAAAGGGCAGATCAAGCAAAACTACTCTGAGAAAATAGCTATTTCTAATTCCATAAATAGCTGCGTAAAAAACGTCATAAAGAGATGCAGAGCTTTGTGTCCAACAGAGGGAAAACACACAGAATTAGAATTCATCAGGAATCGTGTTTTGTTTTTCTACGCTCTGGCTGACTGATAGAACTGCTGGCAGAGGAGGAACGTGTTAGGAACGTTTCAAGCCAGCAAAACCATTTTGAAGAATTGCATCCAAAAAGCAAGCCTCGAACAGATGCCAACTGCATCTTAACAGACACCACCTAAACTGTTTGTAACAGATTTCATCACCAATTAGAAGTTACATGCAAATGATAACTAGATTTGTTCCTAGCAAGCAGACACAAACATATTGCACCATATTGGTGAAAAGCATCCAGCTAAACGCAAAGACGGTATTTAGGGCACGAGCTTTTCTGCACCCAGGAAAACTCCATTTTTGCAGGCTGCAACACTCCACTAGCTACGTATGGGAAGTTAGGAACTAGGAGAAGCTGAGTTCCATTTATCCCTACGTAATGCAAGCAGGAGTTCCGTGTTAAAACAGTGCGGTAAGTACATGCTGAATTGCACTAGAGTTTTCTGAAGCCGTTATGATACTGAGCTGCCTTCAGCCTAATAAAAAAATCTACATTTCACTGCCAGTGTTACATAAGCTTTTATTTCCAAGTCCAGTCTGCACAAACAGTGAATGCTTTCAAGTTCCAGATTTAAAAAAACAACAGAATAAGAAATCAACATTTAATTGATCCCATTTAATATTATAAAATCATGCTTTTACAGGCAACTTCTATTTCCTGCTGTCTTCAAGTCTGGTATAACACAAAAGCCCACACATTTTCCAATGAGTACAGCAGTATTCCTGGAGCAGAGCTGACCCCTTCTCTTCCCTTTTTTTTTTTTGGTATATGTAGCTTGAGCAGTAGCACAGAGACGGTGGCAATGAGGGAGAAAAAAAACCAACCAGAACTTCTCAAAAATTTTCTAGACTAGCACATTTTAAGATGCAGATGACAATCTCTGGATGTAGCCATGGTAAAGCAAGCATCATTACCAAAGAAAATAGGCCCTCAGCAGG